TTCAAATTCTTGTTAAGTCCTTGTTGGCAAGTGTTGAATTTTAACATGAATGACAGTTCAGAGGATTCCCTTTCAAGTGCAGATGTAAGTAAAAGGTCTTTGTAGCAGAATGCAGGTGGCTAAGTCATTTAGAGAGTGTCCTTTCTGGTTAAAATGGCAAGAAACTGTTTTTTCTTTGTGATCTTGTCTGATATCTGTTTTGTGGGCATTAATCCTTTGGCGAAGTGTCTGAGATGTTTGTCCAATGTACATAGCAGACGGACACTTTCGGCACATGATAGCATAGATTATATTTCTGGATGCGCAGGAATATGTGTTCTTGATCTTATAACTCACTTGGTTAGGTCCAATAATGGTATCAGCTGAGTGAATATGTGGACAAAGCTGGCAACGGGGTTTGTTGCAAGGGAAGGTACCAGGGTTGGTATTAGTGTGATATGTCCTGTGGTTGTTGGTAAGAATCATCTTGAGGTTAGGTGGTTGTCTATAGGAGACTATGGGTCTGTCTCCCAGAGCCTATTGGAGTTTAGTATCCTGTTCCAGTATAGGCTGTAGTTTATTGATAATGTGTTGGACAGGTTTAAGTTGGGGGCTGTAGTGCTACATAGTCCTGTATATTGTCAGGAATGATTCACTTACCTTTAAAGACCCCAGGATTCTGGCAGCTTTAGTTTCCAGATAAGTTTTGTGACTAATCATTTGATAGGAGGAAAGATATGTCTCATTGCTAAGTCAGAAAGACTACAGGTGAGAGAATAACTTCTCAGACCTGCCAGTGAAGCAACAGCTGTAGCAGTTTATCTTCCTCTTGTAAAGATTTGGGAAAGGACGGAGCATGATTAAGGTTATGTCCAGCTAGCATGTCAGAGATAGCTTGCAACTACTGTATATGGCTGCAGCTAAGGAGTGAAAATATGATATGCAGAAGGTGGTGGAAGGGCTGGAGAGAAAACCCCTACAGCAGCAGTGGGCAACCTGTGGCCTGAGGGGGACACACAGCTCATTGGAGTTCTGTGTGGACCATGAGACATTTTGTTTGTTAGTGCCTATGCACAGGGTTGCCAGATTCCATTGGTTTCTGTCCATATCATTTTTTTCTACTGATATTACTAAAGTGACACACGTGTAAAACAAAGGCATGTGAAGTGAGATACACGTTGATTGCACAATGACTGTAAGAGCCATGTGCTCCCACCGCATTCAATCAAAGTGCTGCTGTAGTTCAATCTGCACATTGCAAATTCTAGGTACACAAAAGCAATTAGCAAAACTACCCTATCCAGGGAGAGCATCTTGACTACAACTGTCCTGAAGTCCACTGAGATGATGGAGGGCCACTTATGTGACCCACTCATGACCTAGGTTGCCCATTGCTGCCCCTCAGTTGGTGATATGAGGGGAGGACAACAAAGAAAATCTAACTGAAGGTCTGTGAAGCTTGTAAGCCTTAAAGATAAGGTGCATGAGAGGGAGATTCCTGTTCAAGTATTCAAATAGAACTAACATTTTATTAAAACAGAGAGAGTGATCCTATTTTGGAACTCTATGCATGTAATGTGTGAGTCTTCCAAATGTCTGATTGCAGAGGAAACTGAGGCATAGTGGTGTGCCTGAAAAGAGAGACTACGTAATCTGATTTACCCAAACTTGGGCTGGCAAAGGAATTGCATCAGTATGAAGTGGTAGGAGAGGTAAGGTACAGCTATTTTTGAAACTATAATCACTCTGTGAGGGGGGGGACACTTATCTACACACACATCCCTTATTCTAGGCATCAGCTACTACAGGTTGCATCTCCCTAAACCAGAACTCTCTGGGCTGGCAACATCCATGGTCCAACATGACCACAGCTGTTTCTGCATGAGAGCGCCCTGGAGCAGAAGGGCCAGCAACTGGGAGTCGGGCAAGTGTGGTAGCAGCAGGGCCACAGCAGCAGTGCTGGGGCACCATCCGAGCTGCCTACCACCTGGCAGCAAGGCCACGTGATTAGGGCCACCTGCTGTCCGGCAGTGGGGCTGGGGCTGCAGTCACAGCAACCTGGGAGGGGAAGTCTGGCTGGGGCCATGGCAGCCCAGCAGAAGCAGCCTGATGGGGACCGCATGCCACTCCACAGCAGACTGAGGCCACCTGCTGCCTGGGCCATACCAGATCCAGGGCTGGCCAGCAGGCAGCCCAGCTGGACCGAAGGAGCCAGGCATGGGCTGAAGGGTTGGTGTCAGGGGACCTCCCCTTGTCCAGCAAATTCCCTCGTCCAGGACTGGTCAGGTCCCAAGGGTGCTGAACCAGCGAGGTGCAACCTGTACTGCTTCTACCAAACAAAGCAAAATAAGGGTATCTAACTCTGTTTCACCTCAGCTGGCCTAAGACTTAAAAAGACATCTGAACTGACCAAGTATTAGTCTTTCATTATTACCAGGTATAAACAAGTTATGAAAGCTTTTATCATAGTACAGATATTTCCCAAGTCTTTACAATAGCAGCTTGTATTAAATATTACATCACTGGATAACTTTTAGAGGCACCAGAAGAATGGGCTCAGAGTGGCTGTAGCTTAGCCCAATGCACTAGGAATTTTTGTAGTGCAGTAAGAGGAAGCTAGCATTGCCAATAGTTGTGATGCCCAACCGCGCTTTCAGAGACTGACACTAGCTTACCAAGTTTCCCATCCAGAAAAGTGGTATTCATCAATACAGCAGTTCCTATGGAAACATTATACCTGGGCTAAAGCTAAGAAGTTGGAACAAGTACCCACTGGCTGAGTGAAGCCCAGCAAGACTGGGACACACAGAGGAGTGTGAGAGGTCTGCCACCTCCCCTGGATCCTTGCTCACAGACAGGCCTGAGGGGAAGTAATTCAGTAGGGGAACTTAAGAGGTATATCTGAGGGGGCATGACCGCAGTGCGTCTACCTGGACTTATTGGAAAAAACTGGGAGGTGGGTGGTGCAAGCCTGCCCACTTCTAAGTGCCTCTCTCCCATCCCTGTAGGAGAGACCACTGGGCCCAGGACTCAACTCAACTTTAAAATGAGGGAGCTGGAAGGGGACACTGAGCAGAGAACCTCAGAGAGCCCCTGCTGCTCCTGGAAGCTGTCTAGAGAGCCAGTGGATGCTGCCCAGAGGAATGCTACCCAGAGCGTGACACTAGCCGCTTGTCCAGCATCCGCCTCCTGGTGCTGTAGATGGTGGCCTTAGCCAGGGCCAGGAGGAGGCTGAAGAGCTGCTCCCAATGCAGCCACCTGAAGATCTCACCCTGCTCTGCCCGCCAGCCTGGTGCCCTGCAGCGGGAGCGGGCTCACCACGTTCCGGCCCGGGCTCCGAACGCGGGAGGGCGCTCGTCACTGGCTCACCGCGTTGCGCACCCCACGACAGGTCAGTCCGTAGCGGGCGCTGAGGAGACTTGGCTCTGCACGTGAGGCTCAGGGGCGGCTGCCTTGGGAGGCGCGGGCCGGGCGGGGTCGCTCACCGCGTGTAACTGGGGCGCTTCCGCCCGGCTCGGCTCTGCATGAGGCTCGTCCGGCGCTGAGGCGCCACCCTGCGAGGGGGGCGGGGCGGAGCTGGCTCGGTGCAAGGCGCCTCGGAAGGGGCGGAGAAGGGGAGCGGCTCGCAGGCGGGGGCAGTGGGCGGAGCAGCGCTGGGGGCTCTGAGGAGGCGGGGACGGCCGGGCCGGGCCGCCAGTGTCTGCCCCCTCCCCCGGCGCTGTGTCCGGTGTAACAAAGCCTTGGTAACCGAGTTGCTAGCGCCGTGGTCGGTGCCTGGTAACCAGGCGCTGCCCCTTTAAGCGGCCGGGGCGTTTCCTTGCCGGAGGCGGGGAAGAGCCGAAGTTCCCTCCGGCGCCCGCCCGCCCGCTCACTCGCTCTGTGCGTGCAGGAGCTGGCAGCTCCCGGGTCCCGGTTCTCACTCCCATGCGGGCGGTGACGGCAGGCTGGGTAGCGCGGCCGCGGGCGGGCGGCTCCTCTCGGCATGTCCTGGGGGCGCCCTGCCTGCTGAGGCGGCTCAGGTCCCGCCGGAGCGGCCCCGGGGTCCCATGAGTTCCGAGCTGCTTCGCGCCCTCTTTAAGATGGAGCCGGCTCCGTCCGCCTCCGAGTTACTGGTGGGAGCTTCCGAGTTCCTGAAAGGTGAGAGCCCGAGGGACCCAACGCCACGAGCCCGGCTGCGGCTCCTTCTCCCGGGACCTTGCCTGCCTGTGCCTAGAGTTGTGTGGCCGTCGGCGTCCTGCTCTGCCCTTGGGACTCCCGGGTCCAGCTCCCCAGGCTGGTGGTCTCTACGCCGGTACCTGTCGCCACGAGCGCTGCGCTGGGGGCTGTCCCTGCAGCGTGCTCGTCCCACCCAACCCGTGCCTGGGGGCAATGTGCGGCCAAGCGCAGGCTGCCCAACTTTGTTGTCTCCTTCTACGCAGGAGAAATGTAGCCATGCCCCGCCCGCTTGGAGGCCGAGGGTTAGAGAGCGGATGGCGAAAGCTCTTCTATCCCCTGGCCTTGAGCTACTCCCGCTGGTTGGGGGGAGAGTGGGGAAATAAGTACAGGTTGGAGGAGGTGGAGAAAGGAACCAGCACATCTGTGTGGCTTTCGTCAGTTTCCTTCAACTTTGTTTCAGATCGATTATATTTTGCTACTTTACGGAATAAACCCAAAAGCACAGTAAATACCCACTATTTCTGTACTGATGAGGAGCTGGTGTATGAAAAGTAAGTGGCTTAGTTTCTTACTACCATTGTGCTTGCTGTAAGGCTCTTGTTAATTGCTTAAGCCTCTTGTTTCATTTCAGTCCTGTGTAGTGAATCAAGCCCAACAATGGTGAAATACATTGCTTTCTCCCCCTAAATCAGTGTTTCCCAAATGATGTTGCATACCCTGGGGTACCGCTAAGTGAAAATAAGGGTTCAGTGAGAAAATTCTATTACACTAACATTTTATGATTTAAAAAAATATTTAAGCATTTATGAATTTTATTGAAAACAATTTTTATTTGCGTTTGTCATGATCTTGTTTCACTTTTATTATCCTTACTTATTTGTGATCTACTTTTTCAGCTCCATATATAAGACTGTTAATAGGGCTTCTGCAAAATTCTTCCTAGTTTAAAACCATTCCATGGTGAAATAAAATTGGGACACGCTGCCCTAAAGAACAGCAAGACTGCAGTAAAATTTCTTAAATTGTAGTTGTCCAAGGAGTGAGTGGGATGGACATGCTATTCAGGATTTATTTGTAAAGAGAGGCCCCTTTAAGGCTAATTGAATCTTATTAAATGAAGCTTTAAATAGAAGTCTGTGTCCTGGGAAGGCCGGTGAAACAACTGTCTTCTCTGTTTTGTTAGTGATTAACACCTTATTTTCAATATTCTGAAAAGTATAATGTGATTTTACGATTATGAGATAGTAAAGCTTTGATCAGCTCTTAAGAGGAACCTAAAACTGGATATCTATCCCAATGGGGGGCGGAGGGAATAAAGGTAGCTTTTACTAATAATTTTGTAGGCTTTTTTTAAAAAGTTTGTTTAACTTTTTTCTGTCCTGTGGGCTGTAAAAGCCACATACACAAGAGAAACTGATATTTTAGGGCCAGCAGTGAAATTGACTGTACATAAAGTGGTGGCACCTGCACAAAACTGAAAAATATAGATTAAACATATTCATAGATATTGGCGATAAAAGTACTTTTAGATGTGTGGCTTTTTTAAATTGATTGTGGCTCTTCTCAATAACATTATTAAAACAAGGTGGTTTTGTTATCCTGTTATCTATTTTATTTGTATGATCAGAACTCCTCAAAGGTAGGCTTATAGCCTCATTTTGTTGAATGAAGTTATAACTTAGCCTATAGAATACAAAATTAATATTAAACTCAAGAGAACTAGACTATATTTTGTATGTATCAAGTATGATCTGTTTGTAGCTTTATCGCAGTATGGGCATTCAGAGTTGTTTAAGTAGTACACAAAAATGGCATGATACTGGAGGCCAAGGGAAGAGGCATGAAGAATAGGGACCTGAAACTAAAGGAGAATACATTCTAACTTCATGTGCTTATTTGCTTTTAATCTGGTTATCTGGGGAATTCATTACACAAATGTATTTAGCAAAATTTAACTTTGACCCTAAACAGTTTAGTTTTGGAATTCTTGTATGCAAAAGTTCCTTTAATACAGTGCATTCATACAAAGATGCAACATGTATAAGTTGCTCTTTTGGGGGCAAGTTGCTTATCTGATGGAATATTTTTGTTAGCATTTGGTCAATCACCCCCAAGGAGACTTTTGGGTTACTGACAGCTTGATAAATTTGTATTTCTGCTCCATTAAAAATAATTCTGTATGGTTTTCACCTATTTGCAGATTAATTGCTTTTGTGAGTTGTGCTTCTGTGTCAGGGGGAACAAACAAGTTAAATTTCATATTCAGGCAGGTTTAACTTTACTGAGGTTCTGAGGATTTATGAAAAATGTCATACTGAGCCAGTGCATTTTTACACTTGAAATGCTTTAGCAACAAGGCTGCATTAGTGCAAGTAGTGATTTGGTGAAGATACTAGTACACTGATGGGAGTAAGTCAGCTGGACAGATACTGTTTTGGACGGCAGTGTTAAACATACACAGATAACATCCGGGTCTGTCATCTTTTTATTGCATTTGGATGGACAGTATGTATTGGGATTAGGAAAAAGTAGCTGAAAGAACCTGGTAAGACAAGTAACGTTGCCAGATGTTTCCCCCTGCCTTAAAAACAAGTGAGACTGGTATCACTTCTGAAGAGATCGTTTGTCCTCTTGCAACTGCGAGATACCCTTAGATCTACAGTTAATTTTGGTAAGGAGTGTTACTTTATTAAAATAGCAACTAAAGCACTAAGGCTGTACTTATTTGGTGAAAATGCCCGTGACCTCTTATGGATGTGGATACAGTTTTGTCCATATTCAATCACTACAATATGGTCTGCTAGAGGAGACCAGAAAACCACATGGAGTTTTCACCTAGTACACAACGCATAGGCCCAATTATTTAGGTTAGGTATATGTTAACCAACATTGCTGTAAGAGAAGTTTAAGTGTGACTTTTTGCCAGAAAAAATCTTAATGTAGATGAAGTTTTATTGGCAAAAAGTGCTTTTGCTGCTGTAGTGTATTTACCCACTGAACCAGAGTAAACTATGTTGACAAAAGCACTCATGCTTGTATGAGGGGCTTAAGTCTTCCAGTTTTCTTCTATAGTTAAACCAACAAACCTTTAAAAACATAGATTAGATCAGAGGTCAGCAACCCCCAGCACACACGCCACAGGCAGCATGTGATCCAATTTTCGATGGCACATGGGGCAGGTGTCCAGCCCATGCAATGGGAAGCTCAGGCCACGTAGCTGCAGACCAGAGCAACAGGTCCGGCTTCCTTCTGAGGTACGGAATGGCAGAGGCACATGCATACACACAAGTCTCTGGGGTTGCCCCATCTCAGCCTGGACATACAGCTCCCAGGAGCTGAGGGGTTAACCCCTGTCTCCTGACTACAGGCTCTGCTTCCTGCTTCGGGGTGGGAGCATGGCTGGGCCTGCTCTGCAGAGCCAGGGCTGGATGGCTGGTCACATGTGGCACACCGAGGCCCAGGCTGCACCGCACTGCTCCCCATGGGCTGTGTGCAGGCATGCAAAGCCCCTTCCCCAGTGTTCTGTTGTGCCCAGCTAGGCTGGAGCCAGCCCTGGGCTCTACCTGTCCAAACCCCAGAGCCTCAGTCTGCAAGCAAATGGCTGGGCCTGGCAGGGAAGAAACTCTGCGCCCCTCCTCCTCCACACATCTTTCCCCACCCCAGCGCTGCTCCCGGGGGGCTGCAAGTTCCTGTGCTACTGTCCTGCTGGTGAGTGTGCTGGAGACGGAGGGTTGTGGGTGCAAAGTGGGTGAAGGAGGCTGTGGGGACAGGATAAAGGGGACATGGGGAAGATGTCAGTGGAGTGGGATGCAATTTTAGTTTGCAGAAGCTGCACTTTACTCCCCAGTTCTTTGCCTCCCTCCCCAACTAGCTATTTGACTGCATTCTACCCTCTCACCTTTTCTGCATTACTCCCCCTCGGACCCACATCCTCTTCAGCCGCCAAACTCCCTTCCAGACCCTGCCATTCTCACCCCCATCATGCACCCCACCTACCACCCAGATCCTGCATCCCTGTCCTACTTGCTGGCAGCCCTGTCCCACACATTGAATCCATCATTTTTGTTCCCTCCCCTCCCCCCCAAAGCCTAAGGGGGGTCCACAAAATGGGCTAACTTTGGAACCCCAGAAAAGTAAATCTAGCCCATGGGAAGCCCTGAACCTGAGTCCTCCCGTTCCTTCCCCCTCACCTGTGAGAGCTGGAGCGCCACAGGAGTGAGGTGTCTCAATTGGGAGCCACATCATTGAGGGTTGGAGGTTTTGGGAGGAGGGTTTTTTGCTTCTCGTTTGAGGTCCCCAGCTGATTTTTTTTTTCTGTGGGTCAGTGATGACCCCCCCCACACCCACCCAAAAACGGTTTTCCACCCCTGCAGTAAATAAAACATTGAAACCTTTTGTTGGAAATAACAATGTACTTAGTTTATCAAACTTCATTTTAAAACGCTTAATCTGTTCAATAATTTAAATTAAACTGTTCTCCCCAGCTGCAGAACTAGCAGAATGGCTGGGGCATGATTATGTGATAAATGGTGAGGTTCCATCAGCAACTGGTAGTTTGCAGAAAGGTGTGCACTGACCCATGTGGTCCATGGGGCACATGGTAGAGAGAGCCCCTTCACTTTTCCCTGGAGAGTAAATCTTGGCACTCCACCTGGGAAAGGTTGCTGACCCTGAATTAGACCTTGGTTGTAATTCTTGAGCTAGAACATGATACCTGTGTTCCATGATTTTTATTGCCTTTCAGTTTACCTTTCAGATGCAGTTCAAAGTTATGGGTTTATTTCTGTTACAGTATTTCTTGGGTTTGAGCTACCTAAGACTTTCTCTTTCCATGTTGGCCCACACAGTTGAGATCCCCTAGGTTAGAGAACACATCTGTAATCTATCTTGCCAAACAGTAGAAATTTACAGGAAAAATGAGTATTTCCGGTCCACTTACATCCATTGATTGTTTTTCATATAGCTTTAGCAATAGCTTGTTAATTGCTCTTTGAGTCACTAGGAAGAGCCCAAAAATGTTATTTCATAGATTAATGAAAAATAGTTATTTTAGTTTTTGTTCACAGAATGACTATCTTTAATAAAAAAAAAAAAAGCTTCCTGAGGGGAGGGGACTGGATATTTAGAAACTAGGTGACAATTATCAGCCAATATATAGATTTTTAAGTAACTTTGTGCAGGAGTGTGTACAGGTTGGACTTCCCTGGTGGTGTAACCGCAGGACTGGAGTGGTCCCAAAGGAGGGAGTTTGTTGGACCAGGGAAGATCAGGCCTTGGGCTGACCCAGGTCTCCCCCTTCTGGTCATAGGCCCGACCAGTGGCCTTCCCCTGACTCACTGGCAGAGTTTCACTCAGGGATTCACCTCTGTTCAGATTGGCGAGGCTCCCTGTCCCTAGATGGCATAGCCCTGGATGGTATGAAGCTCTTCCACTCCAGCTGGCAGCACCTTCAGGGCTGGTGGGGTTCATTTACAGGCTCACTCCCTGCCCCTAGGCCACTGCCCCTACAGGCTGCCTGAAGCCAGACTCTGAGCTCCCAGCCACTGGCAAC